AAAGTCAGGTCAGGATAAACATAAGGGACAGTTTTCACAATTATCCCCAAGCAAAGATGCTATGTCTCTTTTTCTTATAGTTGATATGAAGGAATTCAGTTCACAGCATCATCTTTCCAGCCTACTTTGGAACAGCAATAATGCGTTCCATGATTGTTGTCAACAGATCCAATCAATTGAATAACATAAATGAAAGATAAGTTTTTTTCCATAAAAGAATTATTTAAAGTGAAAAATGGTTTAACCACGTCGTTACATTTTATTTTGTTTTGAAAATGTCAAAAATTTGGGTCGGTCGGACATGACATGATTATCCGTGACCTAGAGTATTCTTGACATGATTATTGTGTAATCTACTGCTAGATGACGTCACAGGCGCTGATTTCGAAAATTCACTGTACGCTTTCGGCCAATCAGAAAAGAGAGATTGAGTTTAATGTATAACAATAGTTACAATTTCACATGCGAAATTACAAAATTGCCATGGCAACGTTTGGCGCAAAATTTCTCGATAAAATAAACAAGTCAAAAGCCCAGGGTTGTAATTTTTCACCCACAATAGTAAAAGGTTATCAAATGGTATACTCCTGAAATTATTTCCTTATTTCACTCGTCACAATTTGATTCCACATATTTCTAAAGCCTCCTACTGTTAGTGTGGTTTTATTTTTTTAGGTCTTAGCAATATTTCAAAGATTTTTATTAATCTGATTGCGTGTTTCACTTCGTGATATTTAGAGAGTTTAAAACACATTATGTGCACCTATGGTTATGTATTCCGACGTAACACTTTAAGTCCCATTTAAATATAAGGGCGACTCTTTTTCTTCCACTCATATGGCGCTATAAAAGTTTGTATTTTATTATGTATCTGCTGCAGTTATCTCAGTTCGTTATGTTTTGTCTCATCAGGGGCCCTCCTGCAGAAATCTTTGACGTGAAAGCCTGTCAGAGGAAACTTGCGGAGCATTATCAAAAAACAGCCAAGGTGCCCACCACCGCGTGGTCCTCAGTATTACAGGCGGACCTTGAAGAGATCTACACTCAACTGTCCTGGGTGAAACAAGAACAAGCCTCAGCTGGGTCATCACAAAAGAAGAAAGAAAAACAAACCACAGCTGGGT